CACGGTGAGAAAATATTTTTTGACTCAACACGTACAATACAAATATACTTTTTCACATGCTAAGATTACTACTTGTTTTGTAGGTTGCTGACGGCCCGACGGCCTATTCTTCCGATCCTGCCAGCTGTGGTGTCGATGCTGCTGCACATCCTCACATAAAGAGGCGACTTGATGACGATAATCCAGATAGTGTACCCGGGCGACAGGGGATGCGACTTATGCCGGCAACAGCACTGAAGTACACAGGCTGCGTGACTATCTGATTTACTTATATTTTTATTTTGTGTAAATAGTGCATTATGTAAATAATGGTAATAATTATCTTTTAACAATAATTTTATTTTAATTGCGTTTGAACAACAATTTTACTTAAACAGTACAACACAAACACAAACCTTGCAAACCTAACACAAAAACAAACAGTAGAACTAAAACCATCACTGCACAAAGGAAACATAAAGAAAGCAGCTTTTTTGACATGGTTTTCATCTTTTTCAGAACGACAAGACAACTCCATAAAACGCAGTACTATACCACGCTTTAAGTATTAAATTTTTCTGCAAGAAAGCAGCTTTTTTCACATGGTTTTCATCTTTTTCAGAATGACAAGACAACTCCATAAAACGCGTACTATACCATGCTTAAAGTATTAAATTTTTCTGCAAGAAAACAACTTTTTCACATGGTTTTCATCTTTTTCAGAACGACAAGACAACTCCATAAAATGTAGTACTATACCACGCTTTAGGTATTAAATTTTTCTGCAAGAAAGCAGCTTTTTTCACATGGTTTTCATCTTTTTCAGAACGACAAGACAACTCCATAAAACGCAGTACTATACCACGCTTTAAGTATTAAATTTTTCTGCAATAAAGCAGCTTTTTTCACATGGATTTCATCTTTTTCAGAACGACAAGACAACTCCATAAAACATAGTACTATACCACGCTTTATGTATTTTGTCTCGCCTATAAATAACGGGCTCATTGTAGTTATTTTGTGTGCTCAAAAATTACTAAAAGCAAATATTTATTAAAAGTAAGGTTTTTTTTACTAAAAGCAAATATTTCATTAAATGGCTCAACCTCTTCGTCCACCAAAGTGCAACTGTGGAAAAGAATGCTCGATGCAAAATTGTTGGGACGGTGGTGAAGTTGGACGCCGCTACTTGCACTGTATGAACCAGTTTTACAAGGTTCCCGGCGAACGTATTTGTGATTTTGAGGAATGGGTTGATGAACCATGTTATCAGGAATGCTACAGAGAACAACTGCAGTATCTTCATAATGTGTGTTTACGCCAACGGGAACAAGAAAGAGAAAGCAATAGAATTATTGCAGACATGAGGGCGAAACTGAAGGAGGTGGGAGAAGAAAAATGGAAAGCACAATGGAATTGTGAAGCACAAAAGGAACGCAAAAAAAAATATAAACGGGAACTTGCGGAGGTGAAGGCGAAACTGAAAGAGGTAGAAGAAGAAAAAGAACAACCGGAAGAACGATTTAAGTGGTTGGAGCGGAGAATAAATGGTAACCGGGACTAAACATTGGCATGTATGTGTTTAGTGTATTTTTCATATTTCATGTATTTTTATTATGTTGGCCTGCTACGTTTGTGTTTGTGCTGTAGTAATGTTTTCCTTGTTTGTTGTACTAAATTTTATTTTAATTGAAGTGGAAGTTAAGTTTAAGTGCTTGTGTTGTTATATGAAACTATCAAACCACGCTTTACATATTACATTTTCCTGCAATTAAATAGCTTTTTCTTCACTCATTCCAGATTGTGGAACATAATTTTATTTGATATATATTGCAACATACACAAGTACAAACACGTATTACAAAAAACAATACCAAAACATACACAAGCTCTTTCATCAGCAATCTGTCCGGCAAAAACTGCCCCAGAATAACCACCCGATGACTGGGGGTTATCCCTACTATGCACGCCCTCATTATTGGGAACGTCTTCCACCTTGACGTACATTTTCAATAATTTTATTACAATAAATTCTCTGTATTCATCCGGAATCCGCAAAAAATCTCTAAGAGTTTCATCATCCTCGATGTTAAACTCAGAATAATAAGCAAACCCCTGCGGAGTCACTGAATACGAAAACATACCGGTTACTTTAAGGTTAACCGAACGCTTCCTCACACTCATTTTTTTACATAACAACGAAACCAATTTATCATACTCCATAGTAAGCGGCAATTTAACATGACACCGTGGAGGTGAGCTATACCTCACAGAGTTATTCTCCAGCACAACCTCACCCCCCAATATAATGAAACCTTTATTTTTGGCTCTTCAGACACTGTAAAAAAATGATTGATAAGAAGAAGAGAGAAGTATGAACGGAAGTTTGAAGTTTGTATTAAATGAATTTTCATAAAATTGAAACGCCTTTAAATAAGGCAAGTCCGAGCTTGGGGTGCAGAATTTTTTTATGTAAAACGTAGTACAGTACCACGTTTTATGTATTTGAATTATTGTTATGTCAGTTAATTATTGGTGGGGCCAAATTAATAAGTGAAATGCAGTACTATATTGCGTTTAAGTAATTCGCAGTATTGTACTGCGAATCCCTTAAAAAAAATAATTTTTTAATAATATACAGTACTATACTGCGAATTACTTTAACGGCTAAATTTCCGTTAAAGTAATTCGCAGTATAGTACTGCATTTTAGGCATTTATATAACTTTTTTTTTAGTAGTAAAAACGTATTTTGTGCCCAAAAAAGCATTAAAAAAGTTTCGGACTCCTTTTTTCCTTTCCAATCCCTCCAAAGAATAAAAATAATGTGAAACGGATCTTCACGTACTCATTTATAATGACAAGTGTTTCTGCTATTTTCTTCTTGATGTTACATTCTGTATGTGGCTCCAAATAACAACCTCATCACTTGTTGTTTCCGCCTTTTTGTGATATCGAGAAGGTTATTGTGGCTTGTTGCTAGCTACAGCCTAGATGCATCGGTATAAGTAATAAAACAAGATAAGGAAACTCTGAACGCATCTTGGTCTCATATTTTTTTGAAGTATTATCCAACTCCGCTATTTATCACGTTCACAAATAAATACGAAATTTCTATTCGGACCCACCTTTTCCCTAACCACCAGGAGCTTAAGCCACAAAAATCTGGGCCATTTGTTTTCCTTGATCTCTAATTTTATATGGAGGTAATATTAGTATATAGTTTATTTCTGTGAAACCAATAATTTAAAATAATTATTCTAGGTTTAGACCTGATAACCCTCCATATTTTGCAACCTAATATAAACTCAGTAGTTAAACATTAGTACGTTTTTCTCCCTTTTTAGTGAATTTTGCATGTCATCATGAATTCTTTGAATTGGGTAATTTAGTATAATTAATCAACAATCAACTTTCCTAATTAGTTGGAATGGACTATATAAATCCTTTACTATGAGCCCGTTTGGCTTAGCTGACAAGCATAGGTGCTGAAAAGCACTTTTAAGTGCTGAAGCTGATTTAAAAAATAAGCAGTAACGTGTTTGGATAAAAGTGCCGAAATTAATAATAAGCAGTTAAAAAATTGGGTATACAAAGAGTTTTGTTTCAAAAAGAAGTATTTTAGGGATAGAATAGTAAATATTTTGGTCAAACCTAAAGTGCTTATAAGTTGCAATTTGATAAGCTGGGGGAGACCAACTTATGGCTTTTGGCTTATTTTTGGCTTATAAGCACTTAACTTATAAGCACTTTTAATTTTACCAAACGCGTAGATAAGCCAAAAAGTGCTTATAAGCAAGTTTGACCAGCTTATAAGCTTAGCCAAACACCCTCTATATCTATTCCACTCTTTTTAGGTCAATTTTAGTCAAATACTAAATAATTTGTCTTTGAAGGCAAATTAGTAAGAGCCCGTTTGGCTTAGCTGATTTAGAGTAGCTGATAAGCATTAGGTGCTGATAAGCACTTTTAAGTGCTGAAACTGATTTAAAAGATAAGCACTTACGTGCTTGGATAAAAGTGCTGAAATTAATAATATGCAGTGGATGAACTGGGTATACGAAGAGTTTTGTTTTAAAAAGAAGTATTTTACGGATAGAATAGTAAATATTTTGGTCAAACTTAAAGTGCTGTAGACATCTAAATTTTATTGGATCAAGCTAAATCCTAAATTCAAGATACTACAAGACCTCTTGAAATTCTAGGAGTCTGTCAGTGTTGCTTGGAGGCTACTCTACTAAAACCCAGCATTGGAGGCTACTCTATCCTAACCCTAGGTCATTCCTATAAAAAGGATAACGTATTCTCTTAAAAAGTCATCTCAAAAAATGGAGATCATCCCGAAAATCTCATAAACTCATGGGATATTCACAAAGAGATCAAGATGCGGCCGGATAAACATAATTTCATGGAGGTCAAATACATCCCATGAAGGTTTGCATCATCCTACGTTGCCCTCGAATCACGGAGATAATCAGGAGAGAAGAATCAAGGGAGAAACAGAATTGTACCCACAATTATTTATCAATAAAATTATGTTTCTTCATATTTGTATTGTGATTGCATTTAATTTTCTACTCTACGAAAATTTATTGCAAACAAGTGCTTATAAGCTGAAATTTGATAAGTTGGGGGAGACCAACTTATGACTTTTAGCTTATTTTTGGCTTATAAGCACATAACTTATAAGCACTTTTAATTTTACCAAACGCGTAGATCACCCTCTAAGTACAAGTCATTTATTAGATCTCACACTTATCCCTATGTAAACTAGTTCAATCTCAAGTACAACCTAAAATTTTCTTAATTATAAGATTAGCCCTTTCCTTCCAAGTAAATAAAGGACTCGTAGTTTCTAATTTTGCAGCTAATTTCCTAGTATTTTTCATGAAAATAGGCTTAATTTGCTTACTACATTAAGCACGAATAATCTCTGTTTTTTTTTCTTTCCTTTTTCTGATTTTCTGGAATCTGCCAAAGGGTCTATATCTGTGCTTATGAGGAGGAAAATTAACCAAGTAAAGGAAAACCAAATTATTCAAAATTAAATAAGACGTGCCATTCCCTCCTCTTCTTATTATATAGTATTCATTTATTTATAGGGAGTCGATTGGTTAAGACCACACGTCCCCCTTTATCCTCTTTTTTCTTTAGTTATTCAACTACAACTCTCTCTTTAGCTTTCTGAAGCAAAAGAAAGGCAACTAATGGATCCATACAAGGTAAAATTCTAATTCTTCTCTCCAACTTATGCTCTTTCTCACTTGGAAATTTTAGCTGTTGGTAAATTATAATAATGTTATTACCGAGGGGCATGGTGGAATGGTTGAAATCTTCATTGTTAATTAGAGGTCTCGGTTTTGAACCTGCTAGTTAATTGGCTATATGAGTTTCGGTTTTGAACAAACAATACTACTATTATTATCCGAGGCGGAGCTACAATTTGAAGTTTGTGGGTTCTAAATTTGATGTCGAACCCAAAGCATGTCTTAGTTACTGGATTCGCAATTATATACTAATACAAATCTAATAGATTTTCTAATAGAAATACAAGATCTATGAAAAGGCTACCGGGTTCGGCCGAACCCGTAAATAATATCCTACCTCCGCCCCTGATTATTGTTTGCTTAACTACTTTCCTAATGTTTCTCTAAGTTGGCTGCAGTTCACTGTTTTACTGTGTGCATGCATGTATCTAATTTCAGAATTTCTTAATTTCCTTATGAAACTTATGTATGGTTTTGTTGCTGTTGTTGTTATAATGCAGTACCGTCCGTCAAGTGCCTTCAATTCTCCATTCTGCACCACTAATTCTGGTGCTCCTGTTTTTAACAACAATTCATCTCTTACTGTTGGTGCAAGAGGTATGACTCATTGACTTTTTTTGTCTTAAAATCATTTCAAATGGAAATTTCTTGTACTTTCATTTTGCAAAAACTTGAGTTAAAATGAGATGTATGAAGATGGCCTCATGCCTCTTGATAACTACTTCTGGTTTGTGTGCTAAAATGTGCTCTTGCCAATAATTTTTGTAGGATTTAACCTCTGGATATAAGTTGTGTAATACCCCAGACTTTAGACAGAGTCCCACATCGGCAAAACACAAGAGAGATGCTGGGTATATAAGTTATTAACAAGTCTTAGACCCTAGTGACGCGTTTTAAACCCGTGAGGGCCTAGGCCCAGAGCGGACAATATCACTAGCGGGCTGGGTTGTTACAGATGGTATCAGAGTCACTCTTGTGTCAGCCTTGCCGATGGTAGGCGGGGCAAACCTCAGTGCTGAGTCTAGGCGTGTATGTAATACCCCAGACTTTAGACAGAGTCTCACATCGACAAAACACAAGAGAGATGCTGGGTATATAAGCTAACAAGTCTTAGACCATAGTGACGCATTTTAAACCCGTGAGGGCCTAGGCCCAGAGCGGACAATATCACTAGCGGGCTGGGCTGTTACAAGTTCTATACACCGGCAGTATAAAGAATACTTTTACACTATTAATGAATTTTAACTTGTGATAGGGTGTTAGTTACCATTTTTACTGACCACCAATTAATGTTTATCAAGAAAATTCAGGTGTAATCAACTAATAAATGACCTGAATGTGTAAATATTTACACAGTCACACATAAGTTAAACTCATTGTTGTAAGTGTAACGAGTTAATACTATTATATGCTCCACGCTTGGCTAAGACATTGCTTATTTCAATATCCGTTCAGAAATAGCTATTGTTAAGTTACTCGCGAGATGTTTGCTAACATAACTAGCACCCTCTAGGACTAATGTTAATTTTACAGAGTTTAAGTTATACACACTTAGAGTATGAAGAAATTTTACAATCAGTGCAATTTAACCAGTTATAACAGGTTATCACTCTATTTTTAGATTACTATATCAAACGTGATACTGAGAGCGATGTTGTTGTATGATAGACTCTTTTACATATTTGTGTCTGTGGCTGCTCATAATTTTCTTGGCAGGTCCTGTATTGCTTGAGGATTACCATTTGGTGGAGAAACTTGCCAATTTTGACAGGGAACGTGTCCCTGAACGTGTTGTTCATGCCCGGGGTGCTAGTGCCAAAGGGTTTTTCGAAGTTACCCATGACATCACTCACCTTACCTGTGCTGATTTCCTTCGAGCTCCTGGTGTCCAGACTCCCGTCATTGTTAGATTCTCCACTGTTATACATGAGAGGGGTAGTCCTGAAACTCTGAGGGACCCTCGTGGTTTTGCTGTCAAGTTCTACACCAGAGAGGTACGCGCGAATTACAACATCTAATTTGACAAGTTACAAATACTAGTTCATTCATTTACCGTTATATCTTCAATTTCCATGTACAGACTGGATTATATTTATCAATTTCCTTATTCGCACATGACTTAAAAATATGTTCCTTCTTAATTAAGTGTTGCCTGGACTGCTTAGTAGAGGATGTTATGTTGCAACTTAAATACGATATGAACTTCATTTAATGTTTGTATCTGCATGTCTTAGGGACCTATTTTTAAATACTCTGCATATGGGTCTACTTATTTGCTTCTATCAGGTTATGTAAATATGATAGTGATTGTTCATGTTGCTTAACACCGTAGTAGAGACCATAGGGCCCTCTGATATTCAATACCTTGCAGTGACTGTTATGCTGCCTAATTTTTCATACTCTCATCGAGAAATGATTTCGTATTTAGTTTTTTAAACATGCCTGAATTATATTTGGGATTTGTTGATTGTATTTGAAGTTAATCCTTATCTTCTGCCTGAATTCTGATATGCCTCCTCTGCATCAGGGAAACTTTGATCTGGTAGGGAACAACTTCCCTGTCTTCTTCATCCGTGATGGAATGAAGTTCCCTGACATGGTCCACGCGCTGAAGCCAAATCCTAAATCCCATATCCAGGAGAATTGGAGGATCCTTGATTTTTTCTCTCATGTTCCTGAAAGCCTGCACATGTTCACTTTCCTCTTCGACGATATTGGTATTCCACAAGATTACAGGCATATGGACGGTTCTGGTGTCCACACATTCACATTGATCAACAAGGCTGGGAAATCAACCTATGTGAAGTTCCACTGGAAGCCCACATGTGGTGTCAAGTCCTTGTTGGAAGAAGAAGCAGCCCGTATCGGAGGAGCAAATCACAGCCACGCTACTCAGGACCTCTATGACTCTATTGCCGCTGGAAATTATCCTGAATGGAAGCTCTTCATTCAGACTATGGATCCAGATCATGAAGACAGATTTGATTTCGATCCACTTGATGTTACGAAAACTTGGCCAGAGGATATCTTGCCTTTGCAGCCGGTGGGAAGATTAGTTCTGAACAAGAACATTGATAACTTCTTTAATGAGAATGAGCAGCTAGCTTTCTGCCCTTCTATTGTGGTTCCAGGGGTTTATTACTCTGATGATAAGATGCTTCAAACTCGTATTTTCTCCTACTCTGATACCCAGAGGTATCGACTTGGACCAAACTATTTGCAACTTCCTGCTAATGCTCCAAAGTGCGCTCATCACAACAATCACTACGATGGCTCCATGAATTTTATGCACAGGGATGAGGAGGTATTTTCTCTCTCCTTCGATAACACAGTACATATCCATATTTGATTGAGATTTTGCTAAAGAGTTCAAGTTCTTACAAGTTATAAAATTGTTTTACACCATCAGGTTAATGTTCTTTATTTTTACCAAGTATAACAATAAGGTACTTTTCATAGCAAAGGTGATGTAGTAACTTAAAGAATAGGAAATAACCAGTTATTTCGCACTGATATGGTAAAACTTCTTTACATGTCAGTGTATATAACTTAAATCCTATGCTAACACCACAAAGCCAATACGTTGTTGCAACATATGGCTTCACCTTATGTGTGCCTTCACCTTAGCGTGGAAGTTCATATCCATTGAAATAGTCCTCAGATTATCTTAATTAGGCTTTTTTATTAAAAAGCATAATACAGTGTTGTAACCTCAGTTTAATTAATGTCTTTGTTTATTGTTATTTGATGTTTCAATTATGGTGTTACTTTATACGTAATAGCTAATGCATGGTTAATTACAGATCGACTACTTCCCTTCAAGGTATGATCCTGTTCGCCATGCTGAGAAGTATCCTATTCCTTCTACAATGTGCACTGGCAAACGCGAGAAGGTTTGTTCCTTCTACCTTTTATGAATTCTGAAGCAGTGTAAAGTTGACATCCTGAATTGATCCAGTGGCCCTAACAACTTAAGTAGATATCCATAGATGCCTTTTGAAGTGGACCCTTAATCCAACACAAGACTTATTTTAACTTTTTTGCTGCTGAATTTTCTTACAGTGTGTCATTCAGAAAGAGAATAATTTCAAGCAACCAGGAGAAAGGTATCGCTCGTTCACACCAGACAGGTAAACATGATTGACGTATCTTAAAGTGTGGCGTTGTTAAGTTACATTCAGTAGCCCTAAACCCCATCTCCTTCATTCTGTTTGACATACTTGTTTTTTCAATCATAGGCAAGAACGCTTTATTCGTCGGTGGGTGGAGGCCTTGTCTGATCCTCGGATCACTTACGAGATACGCAGCATTTGGATCTCATACTGGTCTCAGGTCAGTACTCCATCATACCCTATATTTATTTATGTGTTAGGCAGATAAGGATTTAGGGCAGATACTCGTTACTTTCGGTTCAAACTATGTATACATGCAAAAAAAATTTAAAAGACATACATATTATAACATCGCACTCATTCTGAATATACTGACTCTAGATTTTGAATTCGCCTCTAGACTATTATGTCGAATTCTGAAGCTTATCTTGGCATGTTTTTTCAACGATTCTAGTTCAGTAAATCAACCGTGGCTCGTGTTCACTTCACTTATTGTCAGAAAAATAATCCCAAGCATTTCATAGGGGGCGACAACTGATTCTGTAAAATTTCCTGACTATGTTAAATGGATTACTGCAGGCTGACAAATCTCTGGGTCAGAAGCTTGCTTCTAGGCTTAATGTAAGACCAAGCATATGAAGATGAAGCTTTTAATGGTTTCGGAGGAGATGATCTAAATGCGCGAGTCTCAAGGCATTAATAACTCATTCCAGTCGTATAAGCAAGATGTATAATGTGGTGGCGATCATATTAAGATGAAATAACTAGAGCACTCCTAATACATATGCATTCATTATTGTGTTGCTGTTATATGAATGAGTGAAACAATGGAAGTTACAGATAATATTTCTTTTCTTGTACTATACTTATTTATCATCAATTTTGCCATGAATGCTTGTTGGGTAGCAAAACAGGGAAAGGTCTTGACAGTGGAGCACCTTTTATGGGTTCAAACAACGTATATATAGAAATGAACATAATTGTCCAATATATGGCTGAATCTAAAGCTCAAATAATGTCTTTATTCAATAAACACGACAGAACGCTACAGTAAATTTCAGGACCTACAGTAAATTAGCTCCTGACTAAAGAACATAGCATATAGTTCGAAACTAGGAATGTACGTATATTCGCTTAATTGCGTTTTTTACTTCAAATAGTTCTACGTTAAGCATTGATTCGTATATGGATATGTAACCATGCATTTCCTGCACCGAGAATGAAATGTTTAATTAGTATTGGGAGCAAGTTTTATAGTCTAAAATGTGAAAACATTTAATTTCCAAGAAATGTGCAAACTTCTTATGCAAGATAAGAGTAAATGTCCCAACCTTAGAAATTCTTTAAGCTTTCTAAATTATAAATTACTTATCATGTTATGGTGCTTAGGAAAAAGAAAAGAGAAAATACGTGTAGATATAGAATTTAATTTTTGTGCACAGACAAGGTAAAGTGATTTTTACAATATCATATAGTCTAAAAAAAACTACGGTTAACTATATATAAGAAAAAAAAATGAGATTATTAGCCTGAAAAAAAAAAAGCATATTACCTTTTACAACGAGGGTGAATCTAGAGTGTTAGTTATGGATTCACGTGAAATTAATAACTTGCAAATCCAGTATATATAATTGTATATCAAAAAATTCATTAAGTATCTATAAATATTTGATTGTACATGCAATTATTATTGTAGTACTAAACAGTGATCAAGTCATAATTTTCATTAAGGGGTGTCAAAATATATAAAAATAAACCAATGAAAAAATTAAAGGGAGTCAACATGTATATAACTATATATGCATATAAATAAAATTTACCTACCTATACGATATATTTTTCCCCAGAATTATAAGTGGCTCTGATGGTAGGCTAGAACCCGTATTGCAGTCGTGGTTTGCACTTCAATTACTGCATTTTACTTTTGTTTGAGCTTAAATGTTAGTGTATTGCACTTATTATGTATTTTTGTCACGACCCAAAATCACCGTTCGTGATGGCACCTAATTCAACCTGCTAGGTAAGTCAACTAACAGATAATACAACTCAACTGAGATTATAAGAGAATAGAGAATAGATAACTGAACTTTTACAAAATTTACCCAAGACCTGGTAGTACGACTCATGAGCTTCTAAGACTTGGAATTTATAAAGCTGGTACGAATAAATACACATTCTGTTTGATAGATACATAAACATAATAGCAAAACCTAAGCTACCAAGGACAAGAGGCAGCTATATCCGGAATGTGCGAACATCTTCAGAATCAGCACCCGGCATCACCAGCAACTCTACTCTAGAAATCTGTAAACATCGTACAGAAGTGTAGTATCAGTACAACCGACCCCATGTACTGGTAAGTATTTTGTCTAACCTCGTCGAAGTAGTGACGAGGCTTTTAGACAAAAGATGCTGATATTCATAACTTGTACATTAGACTAACAGTATAGGCAATTCAAAACATAACAGGTAAAAGTACCATATACAACTCTGCGAGATAGTCAACAATTACTAGAAGGAATCACAGTAGAAGATTTACAATATTTCCTGGTATGAGAAGTATATCCAAGATATCGAGTTAAATGGCACGGTAACACCCTTCGTACTTCTATCTCTTCATCACCATATATAAATAAATTATGTGTGAAACACATTTCGTGCGTTCAACTCATCCTTCCAAATGTATGTATAACAGAACCAACCAGATGACATAAATACCAATAACGGAAATTATAAAGTAGGAAATACGCAAGTAGCAACAATGGACAAGGATATACATGTGGGCAACAGTAAAAGACTAAGCGGAAAGCGCGTGAATAATAACAACAATTGGAGAACAAGGAATATCAACTTCAATTAACTAGCATAATGGAGGCCTAAGTACAATATAACAAATAAGAAGGAAACGCATGATCTTTACAAGTTAACAAGTAAGGGCATGAATGACTAGCATGGTGGAAGACTTATACTAAAGTGCAACAGAATATATGCGTCATGAGTATAATTATAAAAGCGAGAAATAGGCACGGTATTTGCAAGTTAAGCGAGTAGAAGGTATGAGCAACACAACAACAATTGAGAAAGAGATCAATGACAAAATAATAGCAACAAGTCACATCAGATCTATTATTATGATAATAACAGTTCAAGGTAAAGACATGAACGTATACACGGAAGACTGATATCAAACATAATGCATGTCCCTCATCCTCGCCTGCACGGAAACACCTATCGTGCCATGATCTCACGATAACATAAAAGCATAACAATATAAATGAAACGATACAGCATCACCCTTCGTGCTTTTACTCTCAAATGATGTGGCACGGCATCACCCTTCGTGGTTTCACTCTCAATATATGGTACGACATCACCCTTCGTGCTTTTAGTCTCATTATGTGGCACGGCATCACCCTTCGTGCTTTGCGCTCTCCCTCACATGATAATGTATAAACAATGGCACGGCATCACCCTTCGGGCTTCACACTCTTCCTTACCAAGCATATGTATATCAATGACAAACAAGGCAGGAAACATAAATAACATCAAGGAGAGTGTTCTAACGAATATTCCAAACAAATCCCAATCACGACTTGTCAACAATGATTCAACAACCCTCAAGAACCGTATTATTCAAATACTTCCACGAATCTCAAGAATATCGGCCGTAGTAATGTAGCAATAATGTCGCATAGAGATGATCGAATTAGACACATCAATATATTCTAGAATTTCTGTCAAGTTTGATCAAGTTATAATAAGCTAAGTCTTGATTTCTATCATTTAATATTATGTTCTTAGTATCCAAGACTCAAGTAAGGCATGAAGCAAGAGGTCACGAAATTCTACAAATATAAATCTAACATAATCCAGACCCCCACCCCCCACCCCCCACCCCCCATCCCCCGGGCATGATTAACCCTGGCACATACATATATGTTTGTCACCTCATATATGTATCACCCCCGCATGTAGCAAACAATGACAAATAGGAGGAAAATTTCCTCAACAAAGTTAGGCAAAACACTTACATCAATTCGGCTAACTCAACACTCAATTTAGCCTTTTTCTTTACAAATTCGCCTCCGCCTGGCTCATCTAGCCCACGACGACTTGAATACATCACAATGCATAAGAAAAGAATTTCAATTAATAAAGTTGTGATTGTTATTCAATTTTTAAAAAGTCAACAAAAGTCAAACCCCCGGGCCCCCTCGACCAAAACCTTGGTCCAAGGGTAGGTCTTGACTACCCACAACCTCACGAGTCCAAATATGTGTTTTGTTTTCAAATCCGAATCCTATTCGACTCCCAAATCCCAAATTTTTATTTTTTCAAAACTTTGACAAAATCCCCAAATTTTTCCATAGATTTCTCATGAATTTGATGTTAAATCTTATATAAAATCATGAAATATAGTTGAAAATTGATTAGAGGTATTTACCCAATGATTTGGTATGAAAATTCCTTCGCAAAATTGCCTCACATCGAAGTTAGGGTTCAAAATATATGAAATGAAGCTGAGACTCGAAATTCTGAACACTTAACAGGTTGCAGATGTCGCATTTGCAACATGGGTTTCGCAAATGCGAAAAACTTATCGTAATTGCAAACCTGGAGGATTCCTGTCAAGGTCGCATTTGCGAACAAAACTTCGCAAATGCGAAGATCAACTTTTGCAAATGTAGCAGGGCTCATCGCAAATGCGAGTTTGGCCCAGCAGCCCAGGCTTCGCAAACGCGATGGCTGCTTCGCAAATGCGACAAGTTGCGACACAAACATCGCAAATGCGATTATACCAGCACCAACAATCAATCATTATGAGAAATCATTCCGAAACCAATTCGAAACTCACCTGAGCCCTCGGGGCTCTAAACCAAATATGCACACAAGTTTAAAAACATCATACGAACTCGCTCGCGTGATCAAAACATCAAAATAACCTCTGAAACCACGAATCGGACGCCATAACGCATGAGGATCAAATTAAACTTCAAGAACTTCTAGAATCACAACCAAACGTCCGAACCATATCAAATCAATTCCGAATGACGCCAAATTTTGCAGACAAGTTCTATATGACCAAAAAACCTACTCGAAGCTTCAAATCACGCATAACTACCTCGAAACAACAAATCACACCTCAAGGTAAAATCAATAAACTTTGAAACTTCTACTTCTACCGCCGATGCCGAAACCTACCTAATCGCCTCCGATTGACCTCAAATTGTTCACACAAGTCACATTTGCCATTATGGAACTATTCCAACTTCCGAAATCAGAATTCGACCTCGATATCAAAAGGTCCACTCCCGATCAAACCTCCCAAAAATCCAATTTTCGCCAATTCAAGACTAATTCGACTACAGACCTCCAAATTACAATCCGTACGCACTCCTAAGTCCAAAATCACCCAACGGAGCTAACAGAATCGACGAAATTTCATTTCAAGGTCAAATGCTAAAAAGCCAAACTTGGTCAATTCTTCTAACTTAGAACTTAAATCTTGAAGTTCATTCTTCCAAATCGATTCCGGATAACTTGAAAACCAATACCTATGATTTACACAAGTCATAATACATCATACGGAGATACTCGAGCCCTCAAAATACCGAGCGAAGTGCAGATACTCAAAACGACCAGTCGGGTCGTTACAGTTTATGCCTTAGAGGAAGTGATTCCGAGTTAAAAAGATAATTTGGAACTAAATCGAACGATGTGGAGCTTTGATGTCTGAGTAAAGCCCAAAAAATTAAGCCGGGATCATGTTCGGGGGTCGAGGACCAACTCTGGATATCAAAAAGTTAGAAAACAGAAATTACTCTAAGAAAATTGCACTACCGCTTGCCCAAGTGTCCCTCTTCAGCTTGAAAAGGGTAG